ATTGAGAGTGGAAGAGAGCACTGGTCATTCACTCCCCCCACCTGCCAAGACTCGAACCCGCAACCTTCAGGTTCACCTTTGGGTTGTAAGGCCATTCTAACCATTAGGCCACAACTGCCCCTGAAAATGCATGAAAGTGCATCTGAAACATCTGCAGGAATTGCATGATGCAATCATCTCAACATGGACCAGAACCTCAAAAGAAAGCTTCCAACATCTTGTGGAATCCATGCCATGAAGAACTGAGGCTGTTTTGAGCGCAAAGGGAGGCCCTACCCAGTATTAGTATAGTGTTCCTAATAAAGTGCTCAGTGAGTGACATTTTACACAGTGTTTGGGGTTTGTTGGTGGAACGTTTAGAAATAAAAAGCACTAATTACAGCAACAAATAATTCTGATAGTACACATTTGCCATGCTGCGAAGAAGATTTCAGAGCCTCTGCGTTGGAAACACAAATCAGCCTGAACGAGGAACACGAAATTCGATCCTCGTGACAGATGATGCAGGTCACGTGCCTGTCGCGCAGCGTGAAGCATCCCGGAAGTTCTGTTTTTTTAGCAAGCAGTTAGCTAGCTGGGTAAAGAACTCTGAACCTTTGTCAGTCTGACAGGCTTTTTTAATATGTGGACCCGGTCAGTTAAACCGGAGGCTAACACGGACAACGTTGTGTGAAAAAATATGGGATGAGATACATTAATTCGCGTAAGCAATGTGTTATAAACAGAGCAGCAGCTTGTTGACGGCGGGGAAGTGGTGTGTTAGGCAGAGAGAGTAGCTAACTCGACCTGTTTCCGCTTATCGAGTCCGTCTTGGAGATCTCTCACTTCTTCTAAGCAACCAGGAAACACGGCACGATGGTCTGGAAATTAACCACTTGAACTAAAGTCCGCTACGTTGTGTAATATAGATTATCCAGCTAATTGCACTTAGCTAGCTAGCTTGGGGATTTACTAGCTTTCCAGTGAGCAGACGCTGACAAAACATAGCTAGTTACATATTTCTTCACAGTTATATTTCTTTGTAATTTTTGTGAAGCAATTAAACAGTGTTATATGAGTCGTCATAATGCATGACGCCTACGAGCCCGTGCCTATTTTGGAGAAACTGCCCCTCCAGATCGACTGCCTGGCGGCCTGGGGTAAGTGTCACTCTGGGGCAGTTCTGTCTGACAGGCACTCACTTTAACATCGTTTACACAGTTTGCTATGGGTCCGCATGAGCAGCTTTGCGACTGTTTGATTTTGTGTGTTTGTGTGTGTGTGTGTGTGTGTGTGTGTGTAAACATAACTGTAATTAGGGATGCACCGATTCGACTTTTCCATTTTTGATACAATACCCATACCCTCTTCTGATCCCATCCTCTTTATAACCGAGCCAACCTTCTTCAAGCGTCTGGTGCCAAATTCTGCACAGCGTTAAAGTCGTGATGGCGACTTGCAGAGAATTGGATCAATCCAATACCTATACAGCCTTATAGGCCACTGTTGGCCTAGTATCACTTCAGTTCTTTTCAGTTGTAGCTCAGGGGTTAAGAGCTTGGACTACTGATTGGAAGGTCATGAGTTCAAACCCCAGCACCTCCATGCTGCACCGTTGACTTAACCCTCAAATGCTCATATGTATAAATGAGATAAATGTAAGTCGCTCTGGATAAGGGTGTCTGCCAAACGTCATGTAATGTTATCCAAAGCAACTTACAATTGGGACAGCCTACAACTGAGCACTTGAGGGTTAAGTCTCAGTCTCTCAGGGATTTGAATTCACCACCTTCAGATCAGTAGCCCAAAGCCTTAACCACTGAGCTTCCACTTCTCCTATTCAGTATCAGAACAGGTGCTTTTATTTACTGCCTAGTGATTTTAAAAAAGTGACTTTTTAAAAACATTGTAGTCCAGGGCTGCAGTAATTATTCCTTTGTTGTAGTAAACAGTATTCCCTCAGTTGCAAATTCAGTGATGCTGATGGCCTGATATGACATTGACATTTCAAACTGTTGTTTATACAGAGGATTGGCTCCTGGTGGGGACTAAACCCGGTCATCTCCTCCTCTACAGAATCAAGAAGGATGCAGGTGGGGATTAGCTTCAGTTTCATTTGTTATTGAAACTTTGTCTCTCTACTTTATTTATCATTTTTTTTTATTTCATGGCCTCCTTACCTCTCACAGGCACAAATAGATTTGAAGTAACTCTGGAGAAATCCAACAAGAACTTCTCCAAGAAGATCCAGCAGGTATGCACAGTTCTCTAAGTGACCTGAAAGTGTAAAAATAATGAAGAAATATTTATGGAAATATTTATGTATATCAGTTTCTTTCTAGATTTTATTGTAGTGAAGTCTTAAAGTAATGAACACTAATGAAACAAGAATCGTCTCGTGCCATGATGAACCGTTTCTTGCTGTATGTTAAGTTATTTTATCACTGCTAGTGTTGCAAGGCAGAGTGTGATGTCTCTCAATTCATCCTTTTTTCTGCCATCAGCTGTACGTTGTATCCCAGTACAAGATTTTGGTCAGTCTCTTGGGTAAGCCTTTTGCTTTTATTTCTCTTTTTTTTTTTTTTTTTTTTTTTTTTTTTTTTTTTTTTTTTTTTTTTTTTTTTTTTTTTTTTTTTTTTTTTTTTTTTTTTTTTTTTTTTTTTTTTTTTTTTTTTTTTTTTTTTTTTTTTTTTTTTTTTTTTTTTTTTTTTTTTTTTTTTTTTTTTTTTTTTTTTTTTTTTTTTTGGCCCATACATGTTTAACCAGTTTCTTTACCATCTTTATCAGATATGTGGTCTTTCCACACTTTAATTGGGGAAAGTGTGAGTGTTGTCTGCATTGTCTCTCTTAATTACCAATGTTATATTATTGTTTTTTTTTCCCCCAGAGAATAATATCTATGTCCATGACTTGCTCACATTCCAGCAGATCACTGTGGTATCAAAGGCCAAGGGTGCAACGCTCTTTGCCTGTGACCTGCAGGTGTGTAAGGAGAAATTGGTTCAGTATAGCCAAATTAAGAGAATACACAGTTTTTTTCCATCCCCTTCATTATAATCGTTTTTATTACCTTCAGAGCTGGACATATTTTTTTAATATTTCCAATTTTAGTATAAAGTAGCCTGCAGTGTTATTTTATTGCATTACACAACAGAAATAAATGAGCCATTACTGCTGTTTGCTATTGTCCACATTTTCTGACCCTGGTTGAGTATATATACAGTTTCTTTTCCCCATTTTAGCAATCCAATTCAGGTGAAGCAAAGTTGCGGATGTGCGTTGCTGTCAGGAAGAAACTTCAGCTGTATTACTGGAAGGACAGGGAGTTCCATGAATTACAGGTTTGCTGGTGACATTAAAGCACTATACGGTTTAATTGCTGTCTATATGTGTAAAGAGATGCTTAAATCAAGAACATGTATGTTGTGTTACTCAGGGAGATTTTGCGGTTCCTGATATTCCGAAGTCCATGGCCTGGTGCGAGAATTCCCTATGTGTGGGTTTCAAGCGTGACTACTATCTGATCCGGGTAGGTCAAACCCCTAGAAGGGTGACATAAAATGAAAACCAAAATAATGTGTCTTAGTAAATGTTGGGCCACCTCAGACTGCCAGAGTAGATTCAGTTTTCTCGACATAGATTCTACAAGTCTGTGGATCTGTACTGGAGGCAGGAGCATCATTCTTCCAAAACATGTTTCCTCATTTGCTGTTTTGATGATTGTGGTGGAGAGCGCTGTCTGACATGTCGGTCCAAAAGCTCCCATAGCTGTTCATTTGGGTTGAGATTTGGTGACTGCAAAGGCGATAGCATATAATAATAAACATTTTCATATTCAGTGACCATCATCAAACCTCATGCCCTGTGGATGGGAACATTTGCCATCCTGCCATCCTGAAAGAGATTGCTTTCATCAGGATAGAAATGTTTCCTCATAGCATAAAGGAGATCAGACAGAATATTGATTTGCAATGACCCTTCTCTCTAAGTAGACAAGTGAACCCACAAAAATGCCCCACAGCATAACAGAGGCTCTAACATAACAGATGGTTTTTTTTTTTTCCCTTTAATTTGTCACCTGTCTGTACATGGAGGTTATACAAATAATTTCCAAAGCTCAACCTGGGATAGAACAGAGACACTTACATTACATAAAGTTGTACTTGCATTAAGTGTTTTTCTTTTACCTTTCTAGATGGATGGACGTGGCTCAATTAAAGAGCTGTTCCCAACAGGGAAGCAACTGGAGCCACTGGTTGCCCCACTGGCTGATGGGAAAGTAGCTGTGGGTCAGGATGACCTCACTGTTGTTTTGAATGAGGAAGGAACCTGCACACAGAAGTGTGCCCTAAACTGGACAGACATCCCTGTTGCAATGGGTATGATGCAGATGTGCTACAACCTTGTTCCCTATTGATTCTTATGGAATTAATTGTTTGTATCTGTTTTCTAGACAGTTGTAGACATTTTCTCCCATAATATCCACCATGAGCTTTACTACACTTGAAACTTGTAGGTGCATGAAAGTCTTATGACATACAGTACTGAACAAAATGTTTATTGCAGGTCCATTGTCAAGGCTATGGCTACCTTAAGGCAAGGCTACCTTAAAGAAATACCTTGGCCTAAATGACATTTTCACAGTAATGCTTTATCCCAGACATAGTCAGTTGGCAAGGATATGTTTGATATCCGCGGTCTTTATTTTGCACTACTAACGTTGCTAACAAGTAAAGGATCCAGTAGGTGTCATGTACAGGAATTTTGGGTTGGCATGGTAAGCACTGTACATTACTGAGGTGTATTATTAAACAAAACACTTCTAAAGTACACCTAGGCCTTCACACTTTAAGCCTGTTGCTTGCCCAGGGTGTACAAATTATTTTTTAAATGGGGAAAAAAATTTTCAACTTTAAGACCGCTGAGACTAGTTTTTCTGGATATGTCACTAAAGGCTTTTGTCCATTTTTAAAGACGAGTTTGTTATATTTTTATGCCGTATTTGTATTCTGTAGCCAACTTTTACCAAAAAAGGCAAGTTAATTATTTAAGCTGAATTATATTTAGTGTAATTTCCTCACTGAAATAACGATCATACAGGAGGGTAACAAGCCCTCAATATATTCCTTCTCTCAGTATGTGCAAAAGCTCTGTTAAAATCTCTGGAGCTCTCCGAAGCATGAATTACGCTGTGATCAGAGACCTGCCCATTCCTGGCTTCAAATGGATTTTCTGCCCCATGGGACTGGGGGAATTTTATATTCACAGAAATCCTCCATGTTACTTGCAGACTCTGAGTATTTTTTGCATTTCAGAAGTTGCTTTTACAGCCAACATTTAGATAATTATTTTTTTTTCCTGTAATTATGTAGGTCATCTGTCTGCATTAGTTGTGCTTTTTACATAAGGCTATAAATAATATTAATGTGTTATTCTTAATCTGTCAATCTGAAAAGCATTAAGGTTTTCTAGTCAATTCTCGGTTTGCTTTCTCACATAAACTTGTTTCTCTAAACCTTCAGAGCACCAGCCTCCATACATTATAGCTGTGCTGCCGCGGTATGTGGAGATTCGCACCTTTGAACCAAGGTTGTTGGTGCAGAGTGTGGAGTTGCAGAGGCCACGCTTCATCACCTCTGCAGGGTGAGATATTCACTTTTCAGAATAAATCGCCAACATTTCTTTCTGAAGACATTCACAGTGAATTTAATCTAAAACAGTGATGTCATCACTGCTGTTGCATTACTGGAAGTTCTGAACAGCCTTATGGTGACATTTTAATGTTCTCTTCATGCTCATACTGCTTTTTGGTTACAGGCCCAATATTGTGTATGTTGCCAGCAACCATTTTGTCTGGCGACTTGTGCCAGTTTCCATAGCAAGCCAGATTCGGCAGCTCCTACAGGACAAACAGTTTGAGCTGGCTCTTCAGCTAGCAGTGAGTTAATCACAGTTAAACTACTGCAAGCATCTTTGCATGACAAGTACTTCACCGACACTTACCTAACCACTTACCACTAATGGTTTTTTTTTTATTATTAAATTTGTTCCTGTATTAGAACTGAAGTGGTGTTTAGACTTGGCACATCGTGTGCTATTTGAAATATACTCCTGATTTCAAACTATTAACCTATATCATTCTGCAGTACTTTGATGCATTTAGAGATTTCTGTCAAGGTTGAACACATTTAGGAATGCACCTAGTGCCAACTCCCTTTTCACCATTTTTCCTCTTCTTTCTTCCTTTTCCCCGAGCAGAAGATGAAGGATGATGCAGATGGTGATAAGAAGCAGCAGATTCACCATATTCAGAATTTGTATGCCTTTAATCTCTTCTGTCAGAAGCGTTTTGATGACTCTATGCAGGTGTTTGCCAAGCTGGGGACAGGTAAGGAGTGGGTGTATGTCAGTAACAATGTCTGCCCAATAAATTGAAATGTTATTTTGGAAACACCGACCAAATATAGGTTGCAGATCCATTATTAGAAAAAAAAATCGGCATTTTCTTAGAACGTTATGCATGATAAATTCAGATTGTTATTAATCAGGCTCTGCTCAAACTTATCTAAACACGTATATCGTTCAGATAATGGTGAGCACAATAC